GGGATATCCAGGGTGATCCAGTGTATGTGAACAGTGAGATGTTTGGGCGCTGAAGTCGCCATAGCCATTTGAGAGTGAACTCGTATCTGAAGCCATATCTCTGAGTTTTGAGTGGGCGCATGTCGCCAGTGTGCTGCGTTACTGTTTACATGTGTGGAAAGTGTGTTTGAAAACAAGTCTGATTGCACAAATGGCTATGGCGCAACTGCGCCTGTACGTCTCTCTGTTCCTCGCAACCCAACTCTGCTGTTCGCATACACACGGATCACCCTGGATATCCCACACGCGTCACTCTACACTTACACGCACACACACACACGCTAAACTTCTGTATCAGCTATGGCAGCTATGGCCGCTGCTACCTCTATCGCAATGGCTAACTCTACTTCTCGCCCACTTCGTCTTCGGGCTCACTTGAGACCACCTCGCACAAGTCGCTGTGGCAGCGCTTCCGCATGGCTTACGCAGGAATGAATGAATGGCCGGGCGCTGCCTCTTGATTTATACTTCTGTATCTCATTGGTCTGCCCCTTTCCCATGCCCGTGGTGCACACAGTCCCATACGGTACTTGCTTGACTGGACTAGGACTGACTGGGACTGGGACTGCTCCTCCTGATCCTTTGACTGTTGCGATTAATGACGATGTGTAAGTCGTCAGTTGTGACGTGAAAGCCAAGGCCTACCCTGTTTACCCTTCTCCTGTTTTGTTGTACGCTAGAATTATTCCCTCCTGGAAGGAACGTTGGCCTGGTCTGGATGAATGCAGACGCAGAATGATCCATTGAGCGTCAGGAGTCTTCTGGATAGCTAGGATTTGGGTCGTTGGTCTCTTGCTGTCCTCAACTTGTCGTGAGTTGTCATTCATATGATGCCCGGATGCTTTTGGGATTAGCTAGCTTGATGTCCGCTTGCTCTGTCAGGAGAGCTAAGCATGTTTCTTTGTGCAAAGCCGAATGTGACATTTTCTGTGGAATTATTACAGCTTGTCTCTCTGTGGCCAATTTCTAAACTGGTTGAGTTCTGATAAGTGAGTGAGTGATTGAATGAGTGGTAAACTGTTAATCTGAGTGCCGGTATGGGATTCAAGATTTTAGTTCTCTTTACCGCTGTTTGACGGGTCAGAGTGGCGGGGGTTTGTTGAGTTTGCTTGCTGCTCTTCAAATTGGCTTCTTCCAACATGAACTATGTTCCCTTTTTCCTGTGTGCTGCTTCAGGGTTCTATGGCGAGTGTGGACGCAGGGGCGGTTACATGGAGGCATGCGGTCTCGACCCTCTGGTTAAGGACCAGTTGTACAAAATGGCGTCAGTTGATCTTTGTTCCAACATTCCTGGGCAGATCTTGATGTCAGCCATCATGAATCCTCCTCGGGTAGGTGATGTTGTGCTATCAGAAATCCCTCTTCCAGAATGCAAAAGTTTTCAAAAGAATACATGGATGGAACTCAGTACAAATCTCACCATTCGGAAACTGGTCTCCTTTGATGTGCTTGACAGCAAGGGAGGGGATTTCCAGATTTGTGATGCTGGTTCCCGACTTCTCATCAACAAGGGGGTTGGGGGGAGGATGGTATGTCTGTAGGTGGCTTTGTCCAGGGAGTCTGTTACTCACACCCGTTGGTTTGCATCTTTCTTTGCAGGAGGGTGATGCATCGGGGGGGGATGGTATGTCTGTAGGTGGCTTTGTGCAC